CATTAAATATTCCCATTCAGTGGTTAATTCAAGGTATGCAGATTAAAAGAAGGAAATTCCTTTAGAAATTTAAAATAAGTTATTATTATTAACCCTCTTCCGCTGTCTGAGGGCCGTATGATGCTAAGGAGAAAATGGGCAGAAACCCAGAGACATTGACAACAGGATACAGAGAAGATTCAAGGGCCTGTTCTTGATGCCCAGCAGTGGTTATGGGAGCAGCAAGGAAATGAGTACATGCTACCCAGTGGCTTCCTGAAGTTCCTGGTCCAGGGCATCAAGGAGCTGGAAGTGTTGCTGATGTGCAACAGATCGTACTGTGCTGAGAGTGTTCAGTGTTTCCTCCAACCACTACAAAGCTGTCCTGGAAGAGCAGCCAGCTGGCCATCAGAGTCACCCATCCCAGCATGAGGCTGTGCAGCAAAGAAAGTGAATAGGCAGCTCACGTGCACATTTTATTCATGTTAAATAAAACCATAAAGACTGTGCAGTCAATAAAGAAAATTAATAAAATAGCTCATGCTCTTCAGGGGTAGAAATTGATACAACATTTTTGGAGGCTACATAGCAATATTATCAAAAGTCTTAAATCTTTTGCAGTGCCTTTGACTCAGTCCATTAGTTGTCTATTTGCTGCTGTGACAAATGATCACAAACGTAGTGTTTATAACAGTACGAAGGCATTATCTTACCTTTGCGGAGAACAGAAGTCCTGGGCTAAAATCAGGATTCTGCAGGGCTGCATTTCTTTCTGGAGGCTCTAGGGAAGAATCTGTTTTCTTGCCTTTTCCAAGGTCTAGAGGCTACACACATTCCTTACCTCATGGCTGCTTTCCTCCACTTTCAAAGACAGCACTGTCCAGTCAAGTCTCTTATGTTGCGTTACTCCAGCACTGACTTTCCCATCTCTCTCTTCCAATTTTGTTTTTGTTTGTTTGTTTTTGCGGTACGCGGGCCTCTCACTGCCGTGGCCTCTCCCGTTGCGGAGCACAGGGTCCGGATGCGCAGGCTCAGCAGCCATGGCTCACGGGCCCAGCCGCTCCGCGGCATGTGGGATCTTCCCGGACCGGGGCACGAACCCGCGTCCCCTGCATCCGCAGGCGGACTCTCAACCACTGCGCCACCAGGGGAGCCCTCTCTCTTCCAATTTGAAGAACTCTTGTGATTACATTGGGTCACTCAGATAATCTAAAATGTTCTCCCTGGGACTTCCCTGGTGGTCCAGTGGTAAAGAATCCACCTCCCAATGCAGGGGACTCAGGTTGGATCTCTGGTCGGGGAACTAAGATCCCACATGCTGTGGGGCACCTAAGCCCACGCGCCACAACTACTGAGCTCACGCGTCTAAACCAGAGAGCCCTAGCGCCGCAAACTACAGAGCCCACGCACTCTGGAACTCTCGCGACACAACTGGAGAAGAGAAAACCCTCACGCCACAACTAGAGAGAAGCCCGTGGGCAGCAACGAAGACCCGACAGAGCCAAAACTAATAAATAAAATAAATATCTAAAAAAATGTTCTCCCTATTTTAAGGTCACCTGATAGGTAACCTTAATTCCATCTGCTACCTTAATTCCACTTTGCCATATCCACAAGTTCCAGGGATTATAATATGAACATCTTTGGGAGGTTATTATCTGCCTACCACATCCAGATATCCTATTTCTAGGTATTTATTATCAAGAAAATAACTATGGGGAATTCCCTGGCAGGCCAGTGGTTAGGACTTGGTGCTTTCACTGCCGGTGCCCGGGTTCGATGCCCGGTTGGGGAACTAAGATCCCACAACCTGTGTGGCATAGCTGAAAAAAAACAAAAAAGAAAAGAAAATGACTATGGATATATATTAATAGGGAATAATGTATCACTAGGTTTTCATTAAAAATAGTGGTGGACAAGGCTAATGACACTGTGCAAGTTATTAAAAAGTTAGTACAACATAGTTTAACTTTTATAACGTATATAACTATCTCTCTCCATCTAGAATATAGATAAAAGCTAGAGAGATATACTCTAAATTTATTTTTAGCTCACTCTTTTTTCTTGTCTTATTGCTTCTTCTAGGTCTTCAATTCAATATTGAATAAATACGATGATTATCATCAATCTCTTTCATTAAACCAACATATATATATAATACCAGAAATCTCAGTCTCAGAAATCTCTGGGAGTGGGATATATGTGTTTTTATTTTATTTATGTTTTCTAAAATCTCCTAAGTATATTACTTCTGTAATAAGAGAAGTTAACTTTTTTTTTCTTTTAAGCATACAAGTTTTTGAGACTGGGACAAGTATGCAGTTTTACTCGTGGTCAGGCCCAGGATCCAACGTCCAACAGAGGCACCAATTAAGGATTAGCTGCTTCCTCATGGACTCCTCTTTGGAGAGCAGGGGCCCCCTCTGTTCCCTTCCCTTCCTCCCCAGCCCTGCTGCCTAGAGCAGGGCCTGGCTAAATAACCACTCGTTGAACAGAGAAGTTCCAAGGGATCCTATGCTCCCTTCATTCCTTGCTCTGGGTTAGCATCGTAGGATTTATCTAAATCACCATGGAAGTTATCGTTTAGCTGTATCCCTTTCAGGTAATGAGTTCCATCCTTCCCAGGTTAACTGGAGTTTCCTTGGGTGCGTTTCCAGGCTGCGTCAGTCCTGGAGCCCTTGCTCAAGGGCTGAGCTTTGGAACAGCAGTCTACGCCTCTTGCCCCACTCTGCCATCCCTGTACCACCCTGGCCACCAGCCCCAGGACTGGCAAGGGTAGTAACAACCTGACAACAACAGCATTGATAATGCCAAGTTCACAAGGATCCTTTTGAATTGGCTCTTTTATTATACAGATGATGGATCAGACTCAGAGAGGACCAGCAAGTGACCTCCTCAAGGCCACACAGCTAGTAAATGGCAGTGAACAGATTCAAATTCATGTGCCCCCCCCAACTCCCCCAGCTCTAGAGTCTGAGTTTGCCATCACTGCCCTCCACTGCTTCTTGGAATAAATGTTTTAAAAATGGTAACTGTTAACGCCAATTGAGTGCTCGCCAGGTATCAGGTGCCCCCCATATATCAACCTACATAATCCTCCTAAGAGCCCATTTTACAGTTGAGGCAACTGAGAGGCAAGTAGATTGCTAAGGTCCACAGCTAGGAAGTGCAGGGTCTGCATTTGAACGCAGATGATGTCCAGGCCCTTCCCAGCTCTGCAAGTTGATGCTAACAGTGTTCTGTGTTCTAGGCCACAGGCCCAGGATTTCACCTGTGATGGAATCCCCATAGTGCCCAGGAGGTAGGTGATTCCTTAGACCCCTTCTGCAAGGGAGGAGCTGGGGCTCAGAAAGGGAAGGTGACAGGTTTGAGGTCACACAGCAGTGTACGGCAGACTGGGCCTGGCACATGGTCTTTGACAGCAATGCTGTTCTGTACGCCAGGCTGTGTTTTTCCTGGGATAAGTGCCCCCACCCTTGGCTTGCTGGGTGCTCCAGCAGGGGGGAGGCCCTTCTAGACAGTTCTTAGAGCCCAGTCACTGCCCCACCCTGCTCAGTCCCTTAGAAAGCCATTCAGCCACTTATATTGTGGGCAGTGCTGGGAACCCCCTGGTGCCACCTCCTTTGCCAGTCTTTCTCACTGGACACTCGTTGGGACGACTTTCCAAAGAAGGATCTCATCATCTCATCACCTCCAAATCCTCAACCTACCCACGCGTGTGCTTCTCTGGATTGCTGTGGCTAATGCCACCTTGGGGGACACTCAGCCTCATCTTGGGGGTGATTCCTTTCCGGGAAGAACTCTCACTCATGCAGAACCTGGGCTGCTGGCCTGCAGGTTTTCAGGGGGTGTGTGCAGGGTGGGTTTTCTGTGCATAAGTGGGGAAAGGAGATTCTGAAGGCCTTCTCCGTGTGGGCTTATCTTTGTTGCTATAACATTATGGCTCTACAATGGTGGCAGGGACTTCAGAGGGCCAGGCCTCCAAGCAGCCTTCCTGGGGAAAGAACTGTAGCATCTGGAGGGCTTACAGTCTCAGCTTCACCACCGGGGGCATCTTTTCTGTGCTTTCCTTGCAAAACAAAAACAAGAGCAGAGACTCAGGCTGTCCTCTCTCTT